GAACATAAACGACTTGATGGAGTTGAAAAACACAGCATGAGAAGTACGTGAAGCAAAAACAAGTTTTAATAGCCGAATCAATCAATCAGAAGAAAGGATATCAGAGATTGAAGATCAACTCAATGAAATAAAAAGAGAAGGCAAGACAACAGAAAAAAGAGTGAAAAGAAATGAACAAAGCCTCCAAGAAACATGGGATTATGTGAAAAGCCCTAATCTATACTTGATGGGTGTACCTGAATATGATGGGGAGAATGAGTCCAAGCTGGAAAACACCCTTCAGGATATTATCCAGGAGAACGTCCCAAGCCTAGCAAGGCAGTCCAACATTCAAATTCAAGAAATACAGAGAACTCCACAATGATATTCCTCAAAAAGAGCAACTCCAAGGCACATAATCATCAGATTCACCACGGTTGAAATGAAGGAAAATATGCTAAGGGCAGCGACAGAGAAAGGTCGGGTTACCCACAAAGGGAAGCCAATCAAACTCACAGCCAGAAGAGAGTGGGGGCCAATATTCAACATCCTTAAAGAAAAGAACTTTCAACCCAGAATTTCTTATCCAGCAAAAACTAAGCTTCATAAATGAAGGAGAAATAAAATCCTTTGTGGACAAGCAATTACTGAGAGATTTTGACACCACCAGACCTGCCCTACAAGAGCTCCTAAAAGAAACACTAAGCACGGAAAGGAGCAAGTACCAGACACTGCAAAAGCAAACCAAATGGCAAAGACCAAAAATGCAGTGAAGAAAATGAGTCAACTGATGGAAAAGAAAACCAGCCAGTAACAAAATGGCAGGATCAAATTCACATATAACAATGGTAACATTGAATGTAAATGGCCTAAACACCCCAATCAAGACACAGACTGGCAAACTGGACAAAAATTGAAGACCCATCAGTGTGCTGTATTCAGGAAACCCATCTCACATACAAAGACACACATATGTTAAAAATAAAGGGATGGAAAAAGATTTACCAAGCAAATGGAGAGCAAAAAAATAGCAGGAATTGCAATCTTAATCTCTGATAAAATGGACTCAAAACCAACAAAGATCAAAAGAGACAAAGAAGGACACTACCTAATGGTAAAAGGATCAATCCAACAAGAAAGGCTAACTATCCTAAATATATACGCACCCAACACAGGAGCACCCAGATACATAAAGCAAGGTCTTACCAACCTAAAACAAGATTTAGACTCCCACACAATAATAGTAGGAGACTTTAACACTCCACTGTCAAAATTAGACAGATCAGTGAGACAGAAAACTACGACATCCAAGACTTGAATGCAGGGCTGGACCAAGTAGACCTAACAGACATATATAGAACGTTCCACCCCAAATCCACAGAATATACATTTTTCTCAGAACATTGCACTTCCTCTAAAATTGACCACATCATTGGAAGCAAACCACTCCTCAGCAAATGGAGAAGAATGGAAATCATAACAAACAGTCTATCAGACCACAGCGCAATCAGACTAGAATTCAGGATTAAGATACACACTCAAACCCACACCAACACTTGGAAGCTGAACAACTTGCTTCTGAGTGTCAACTGGATAAACAATGAAATGAAGGCAGAAATAAAGATGTTCTTCAAAACCAATCAGAATGAAGACACAACTTACCAGAATCTCTGGGACACCTTTAAAGCAATGTCAAGAGGAACATTTATAGCAATAAATGCCCGCACGAGAAACAAGGAAAGATCTCAAATTGACACCGTATCATGAAAATTGAAAGAGGAGGAAGATCAAAAAACTCAAAAGCTAGCAGAAGACAAGAAATAACTAAGATCAGAGCCTAACTGAAGGAGATAGAGACACAAAAAAACCCTTCAAAAAAATCAATAAATCCAGGAGGTTGTTTTTTGAAAAGATCAACAAAATAGACAGACCACTAGCCAGATTAATAAAAAAGAAAAGAAAGAAGACTCAAATAGATGCAAAAAAAAAAGGTAAAGGGGACATCACCACCGATCCCACAGAAATACAAACTGCCATCAGAGATTACTACAAACAACTCTATGCACATAAACCAGTACACCAGGAAGAAATGGTTAGATTCCTGGACACTTGTACTCTACCAAGATTAAACCAGGAGGAAGTTGAAACCCTGAACAGACCAATAACAGGGCTGAAGTAGAGGCAGCAATCAATGGCCTGCCAGCCAAAAATGTCCAGGTCCAGATGGGTTCACAGCCGAATTCTACCAGATGTACAAAGAGGAGCTGTACAACTGTAAATCCCTTCTAAAACTGTATCAAACAGTACAAAAGGAAGGAATCCTCCCTAACTCATGTTATGAGACCAACATCATCCTGATACCAAAACCAGGCAGACACTCAACTAAAAAAGAAAACTTCAAGAAAATATCCATGATGAAAATCAACGCAAAAATCATCAATAAAATACTGGCAAACCGATTGCAACAGCACATCAAAAAGCTTATCCATAATGATCAAGTAGGCTTCATCCTGGGGATGCGAGGCTGGTTCAACATACACAAACCCGTAAACGTAATCCATCACATAAACGGAACAAAAGACAAAAACCACATGATTATCTCAACACATGCAGAGAAGGCCTTTGACAAAATTCAACAGTGCTAAAAACTCTCAAGAAACTAGGTATCAATGGAATGTATCATAAAACGATAAAAAGCCATTTATGATAAACCTATAGCCGATATAATACTGAATGGGCAAAAGCCAGAATAATTCCCTTTGAAATCAGGCACTAGACAAGGATGCCCTCTCTCACCACTCCTATTCAATATAGAACTGGAAGTTCTAGTCAGAGCAATCAGGCAAGAAAAAGAAATAAAGCGTATTCAAATAGGAAAGGAGGAAGTCAAAGTGTCACTATTTGCAGATGACATGACTGTATATCTAGATGACCCCCTCATCTCAGCCCAAAATCTTCTCAAACTGATAAGCAACTTCAGTAAAGTCTCAGGATACAAAATCAATGTGCAGAAATCACAAGCATTCCTGTATACCAATATCAGACAAACAGAGAGCCAAATCAAGAGCAAACTTCCATTCACAATTGCTACAAAGAGAAAATACCTAGGAATATAACTAACAAAGGATGTAAAGGACCTCTTCAAGGAGAACTAGAAACCACTGCTCAACGAAATAAGAAAGGACACAAACAGATGGAAAAACATTCCATGCTCATGGTTAGGAAGAATTAATATCATGAAAATGGTCATACTGCCCAAAGTAATCTATAGATTAACGCCATCCCCAGCAAGCTATCTATGACCCTCTTCACGGAACTGGAAAAAACACTTTAAACTTCATATGGAACCAAAAGAGAGCCCACATAGCCAAGTCAATTCTAAGCAAAAAGAACAAAGCTGGAAGCATCATGCTACCTGACTTCACACTATAGTATAAGGCTACAGTAATCAAAACAGCATAGTACTGGTACCAAAATAGAGACATAGACCAATGGAACAGAACAGAGGCCTTGGAGGCAACACCACACATCTACAACCATCCGATCTTTGACAAACCTGACAAAAACAAGCAATGGGGAAAGACTCCATGTTTAATAAATGGTGTTGGGAAAACTGGCTAGTCATGTGTGGAAAGCAGAAACTGCACCCCTTCCTGACTCCTTACACTAAAATTAACTCCGGATGGATTAAAGACTTAAGCATAAGACCTAACATCATAAAAACCCTAGAATAAAACCTAGGCAAAACCATTCAGAACATAGGCATAGGCAAGGACTTCATGACTAAAACACCAAAAGCATTGGCAACAAAAGCAAAAATAGACAAATGGGATCCAATTAAACTCCAGAGCTTCTGCACAGCAAAAGAAACAATCATTAGAGTGAATCAGCAACCAAGAGAATGGGAAAAAATTTTTGCACTCTTCCCATCTGACAAAGGACTTATATCCGGAATCTCCAAAGAACTAAAACAGATTTACAAGAAAAAAACAAACCCATTCAAAAGTAGGCAAAGATATGAACAGACATTTTTCAAAAGTAGACATATATGAGGCCAAGAAACATATGAAAAAGAATGCTCATCATCACTGGTCATTAGAGAAATGCAAATCAAAGCCACATTGAGATACCATCTCACATCAGTTAGAATGGCAATCATTAAAAAATCTGGAGACAACAGATGCTAGAGAGGATGTGGAGAAATAGGAACACACCTACACAGTTGGTGGGAATGTAAATTAGTTCAACCATTGTGGAAGACAGTGTGGCAATTTCTCAAAGATCTAGAAACAGAAATTCCATTTGACCCAGCAATCCCATTACTGGGTATATACCCAGAGAACTATAAATCATTCTACTATAAAGACACATGCACATGTATGTTCATTGCAGCCCTGTATACAATAGCAAAGCCCTAGAACCAACCCAAATGCCCATCAATGCTAGACTGACAAAGACAATGTGGTACATATACACCATGGAATAGGAATACTAAGCAGCCATAAAAAACGGTGAGTTTGTGTCCTTTGTAGGGACTTGGATGAATCTGGAAGCCATCATTCTCAGCAAACTGACACAAGAACAGAAAACCAAACACCACATGTTGTCACTCATAGGTGGGTGTTGAACAATGAGAACACATAGACTCAGAGAGAAGAGCATCACACACTGGGGGCAGTTGGGGGGGTTAGGGGAGGGAGGGGGGGAAGTGGGGATGGTGGGGAGGGATAACATGGGGAGAAATACTGGATGTAGTATACACCTAAAGTAAAATAAATAAATATATATAATATATGTTTTGAAATGTGTCCATTCAAGATAAAGTGCTATATAGACTTAATTTACCTCTCCAAGGTTTCCCTATGCCAGGTGCTGTGGAGCCTGCCGAGGCAGAAAAGCAAGGGCCCCGGGGACAGGAGGGCTCGCTCCCCCACGCCGCATCCCCCCTCCCCGCGGGAAGCGGGCCCTTCTCCCACACCCCGCCTCAACCCAGCCCCTGCCTCCAGTCCAGCTCCTGTCACCTCTGCTTCTTGTCTCTCTCATCCAAGTCAACGTTCCCGCGCGTAAGGATATGCTGCATCCTAGAGACGTCACCCCGGCTAGCCGCTCTGTGGAGCTTGCCGAGATGTTTCCCTCGGATGTCGTACCCACGCCGGGCGAAGGGGCTGTCATCGCGCTTGGCGACATCACCCCTGCTGCTCCTCCACCAGCGGGTGAAGAAGCCACTCGGCCCCCGGCCCTTCTGGTTCCGGGAGCCAGAGATCGTTTCCATGGCGGAGGTTATTAGAGACACCTCAGCACCATCCCACCTATCACAGCCTCAAGGGCCCAATGAGACCAAACCACTCTGGTCAGCCAACACCTCCAACCAGGAAACTCCGCTGTTGCCAAAGTCAGAGCCAGCAACAGGCGAAGCCAAGCAGCCAAAGCGCGCCAAGCAAAGCCGGTAAGCCCAACCGCGCATGCGCAACTCTGTCAGCTCCGTGACTGCGCGTGCGCACAACCGACAGATGGCCAACGGTTCTCAGCGTGCGTGTGCAAGGCCCACGTGTCAGAAACATCGATGACACCTTGTCACCAGTTCTGCCTTCCCGTTCCACGTCAGTGGGAGTTGGCAGAATTTTCAGGACATTCCCTGAGGAGGAAGGCATCCTGAAGTTCCAGCTACTGTAGCGCCAGTCCTGTGTGAACATTTTTCTAAGTCATGGTCATATATAAACAAAAACACAAATCAAACTAAATTATTGCAAAATTATTGTGATTTTGGAATTGGAAGGCCTAGTTCCTCAAAAAGCTAAATGGAATTACTGTATGATAATTACCATAACAGCTGTATTCACAATAACCAAAAAGGGAAAATCATCTAAATGTCCATCAACAGATGAATGAATAAACAAAGTGGTCCATGCATACAATGCAATATCCAAATATAAAAAGCAATGAAGCACTGCTGCAGGCTGCAACATGAACGAGCTTTGAAAATATTATTTTGACTCGCCAGCCGAGGCAGCACGGCTCCGCGGACTTTTTTTCAAACTCCCATCAATGTGACTTCGAAGAGGAGCGGGCAGCGGCGGCGGTGACTCCAGCGGAGGAAAGCGAAGAACCGCGGGAGGAGCCGGAGGAAAGAGCGCAGGCCGCGCAGAGCGCGCCGAAGCCTCGGGGAGCCGCCTTCTCGCCGGCGGTAGGGGCTGCGGGGCGCCCGCCAGCCTCTGGGTCCCCTCTCCTGCCTGGCCCGCCCCGCCTGGGCCGGCAGGAGCCCCGGCACTAGGCAGCCCGCCGAGGGTCCCCGCGCCAGCCAAGGTGGGATGGGGGCCCACAGCCACCGCCAGGAGCCCGAGAGGCCACCTGCGTGCTAGAGGCAAACTTTTGTCTCCCTCGGGTTACCGCCCAGGACGATGAGCGGCTGAGATGGAGACATCTGCCTCAGCCACTGTCTCTGAGAAGCAAGAAGCCAAAAGTGGGCTCCTGGAGGCCGCTGGCTTCCCCGACCTGGGCAAAAAGGCCTCTCCTCTGGTGGTGGCCGCAGCGGCAGCAGTGGTGGTTGCCCAAGGAGTGCTGCAGCACCTCTTACCACGGTTCCATGCGCCCCTACCCATTGATATGCGACACCAGGAGGGAAGGTACCATTACGAGCCTCATTCTGTCCACGGTGTGCACGGGCCCCCCGCCCTGAGCGGCAGCCCTGTCATCTCTGACATCTCCTTGATCCGGCTTTCCCCACATCCGGCTGGCCCTGGGGACTCCCCCTTCAACGCCCCCCACCTGTATGTGAACCCCCACATGAAGCACTACCTCCGTTCCGTGCACAGCAGCCCCACGCTCTCCATGATCTCTGCAGCCAGGGGCCTCAGCACCGCTGAAGTGGCCCAGGAGCACCTTAGGAGAGGGGTCTGTTTGGCCTGCCTGCTCCAGGCACCACCCCCTCAGACTATTACCACCAGATGACCCTCATGGCAGGCCACCCCGCACCTTATGGGGACCTGCTGATGCAGAGCGGGGGTGCTGCCAGCGCACCCCATCTCCATGACTACCTCAACCCAGTGGACGTGTCCCGTTTCTCCAAACCTCGGGTGACGCCCCGCCTGAGCCGCAAGCGTACGCTGTCCATCTCTCCACTCTCAGACGCCAGCCTGGACCTTCAGCGGATGATCCGCACCTCACCCAACTCGCTGGTGGCCTACATCAACAATTCCCGCAGCAGCTCAGCGGCCAGCGGCTCCTTTGGGCACCTGTCGGCGGGCACCCTCAGCCCAGCCTTCACTTTCCCTCACCCCATCAACCCCGTGGCTTACCAGCAGATTCTGAGCCAGCAGAGGGGTCTGGGGTCAGCCTTTGGACACACACCACCCCTGATCCAGCCCTCACCCACCTTCCTGGCTCAGCAGCCCATGGCCCTCACCTCCGTCAATGCCATACCCACCCAGCTCAGCAGCAGCAGCAACTGTCTGAGTGACAACCAGAACAAGCAGAGCAGTGAGTCGGCTGTGAGCAGCACCATCAACCCCGTCGTGCAAGCGCAGCAAGGTCAAGACCGAGCCTGAGGGCCTGCGGCCGGCCTCCCCTCTGGCATTGACGCAAGGCCAGGTGTCCGGACACGGCTCATGTGGGTGTGCCCTTCCCCTCTCCCAGGAGCAGCTGGCTGACCTCAAGGAAGACCTGGACAGGAATGACTGCAAGCAAAAGGCTGAGGTGGTCATCTATGAGACCAACTGCCACTGGGAAGACTGCACCAAGGAGTAGGACACCCAGGAGCAGCTGGTGCACCACATCAACAACGAGCACATCCACGGGGAGAAGAAGGAGTTCGTGTGCTGCTGGCAGGCCTGCACGCGGGAGCAGAAGCCCTTCAAGGCACAGTACATGCTGGTGGTGCACAAGGGGCGGCACACGGGCGAAAAGCCCCAAAAGTGCACGTTCGAGGGCTGCTCGAAGGCCTACTCACGCCTGGAGAACCTGAAGACGCACCTGCGGTCCCACACCGGGGAGAAGTCATATGTGTGTGAGCACGAGGGCTGCAACAAGACCTTCTCCAACGCCTCGGACCGCGCCGAGCACCAGAACCGCATCCACTCCAACGAGAAACCCTACATCTGCAAGATCCCAGGCTGCACGAAGCGATACACAGACTCCAGCTCTCTCCTGAAGCATGTGAAAACGGTCCACGGCCCAGACGCCCACGTCACCAAGAAGCAGCGCAACGACGTGCACCTCGGCACACCGCTGCTCAAAGAGAACGGGGACAGTGAGGCCGGCGCCGAGCCTGGCGGCCGTGGTTCTGAGGACAGCGCCGAGGCCAGCAGCACCAGCCAGGCTGTGGAGGACTGCCTGCACGTCAGAGCCAACAAGACCGAGAGCTCCAGGCTGTGTCAGTCCAGCCCCGGGGCCCAGTCATCCTGCAGCAGCGAGCCCTCTCCCCTGGGCAGTGCCCCCAACAATGACAGTGGCGTGGAGATGTCGGGGACCCGGCCCAGGAGCCTGGGAGACCTGACGGCGCTGGATGACACACCTCCAGGGGCCGACACCTCAGCCCTGGCTGCCCCCTCCGCCTCCAGCTGCGCAAACGCATGACCACCATGCACGGATTTGAGCAGCTCAAGAAGGAGAAGCTCAAGTCACTCAAGGATTCCTGCTCATGGGCCGGGCCGACTCCACACACGCGGAACACCAAGCTGCCTCCCCTCCCGGGAAGTGGCTCCATCCTGGAAAACTTCAGCGGCAGTGTGGGCGGCGGGCCCTCGGGCCTGCTGCCCAATCCGCGACTGTCAGAGCTGTCCGCCAGCGAGGTGACCATGCTGAGCCAGCTGCAGGAGCGCCGCGAAAGCTCCACCAGCACGGTCAGCTCGGCCTACACCGTGAGCCGCCGCTCCTCCGGCATCTCCCCCTACTTCTCCAGCCGCCGCTCCAGCGAGGCCTCGCCCTCCGCAGACTCCTACGACCCCATCTCCACGGATGCGTAGCGGCCCTCGAGCGAGGCCAGCCAGTGCAGCGGCGGCTCCGGGCTGCTCAGCCTCACGCCGGCGCAGCACTACAGCCTGCGGGCCAAGTACGCAGCGGCCACGGGCGGCCCCCCACCTACCCCGCTGCCAGGGCTGGAGCGCATGAGCCTGCGGACCAGGTCGGCGCTGCTGGATGCGCCAGAGCGCGCGCTGCCCCCCGGCTGCCCACGCCCGCTGGGGCCGCGGCATGGCAGCGATGGGCCGACCTATGGCCACGGCCACGCATAAGTCGCACCCGCCTTCCCTCACGAGGCTCCGGGGGGCGGCGCCAGGCGGGCCAGCGACCCTGTGCGGCGGCCCGATGCCCTGGCCCTGCCGCGGGTGCAGCGCTTCCACAGCGCCCACAACGTGAACCCCGGCCCGCTGCCGCCCTGTGCCGACAGATGAGGCCTCCGCCTGCAGAGCCAGCCGAGCACCGACGGCGGCCTGGCCCGCAGCACCTACTCGCCCCGGCCGCCCAGCATCAGCGAGAACATGGTGATGGAGGCCGTGGCGGCAGGAGCCGACAGCGCGGGACCGGAGGCCGACCTGGGGCTGCTGGAGGACGACCTTGTGCTGCCCGACGATGTGGTGCAGTGTATCAAGGCGCACGCCAGTGGCGCTCTGGATGAAGGTGCCCGGCAGGTGTATCCCACGGAAAGCAGTGGCTTCTCTGACAACCCCAAACTGCCCAGCCCGGGGCTGCACGGCCAGCGGAGGATGGTGGCTGCGGACTCCAACATTGGTCCCTGTGCCCCTGTGCTGGGAGGATGCCAGCTGGGCTTTGGGGCACCCTCCAGCCTGAACAAAAATAACATGCCTGTGCAGTGGAACGAGGTGAGCTCCGGCACAGTGGACGCCCTGGCCAGCCAGGTGAAGCCTTCACCCGTTCCTCAGGGCAACCTGGCGGTGGTGCAGCAGAAGCCAGCCTTTGGCCAGTACCCAGGCTACAGTCCACAAGGCCTACAGGTGAGTCCTGGGGGCCTGGACAGCAGCAGCCACACCTTCAGCTCCGCAGCAGAGCCCCTTCCCAGGGCATGCCCAGGGTAAACTACATGCAGCAGCTGCGACAGCCAGCGGCAGGCAGCCAGTGTCCTGGCATGACTACCGCTATGAGCCCCCATGCCTGCTATGGCCAAGCCCACCCCCAGCTGGGCCCTAGCACCATCAGTGGGGCCCTCAGCCAGTTCACCCCATCCTGCAGCAGCATGCCAGCCAAGCCAGTCCAGCTGGGACACCCACAGCAGACGGAAGTTGCACCTGACCCCATCATGATGGACAACTGCCACAGGGAACTCGGGGTCCTCAATTCAGCCCTGGCTGGAGTGCCACCACCTCACCCAGTCCAGAGCTACCCACAGCAGAGCCATCACCTGGCAGCCCCCATGAGCCAGGAGGGCTACCACCAGGTCCCCAGCCTTCTGCCTGCCCACCAGCCTGGCTTCATGGAGCCCCAGCCAGGCCTAATGGGAGTGGCTACAGTAGGCTTTGGCCTAGTGCAACCCCGGCCTCCGCCCGAGCCCAGCCCTGCTGGCCGCCACCGTGGGGTACGTGCTGTGCAGCAGAAGCTGGTCTATGCCAGGGCCACAGGCCATGCCATGGCTGCCATGCCATCCAGTCAGGAGACAGCAGAGGCTGTTCCCAAGGGAGCAATAGGCACCATGGGGTCAGCGCCTCCCCAGCTGCCTCCACCAGACTCAGGGAGGCCCCCGGACCACAGCATGCTCTACTACTATGGCCAGATCCACATGTACGAACAGGATGGAGGCCTGGAGAACCTCGGGGGCTGCCAAGTCACGCGGTCCCAGCTACCACAGCGACAGACCTGCCAGGACAACATCCAGCCCCAGCCCTTGCCCTCACCAAGGGTCAACCAAGTGTCCAGCACTGTGGACTCCCAGCTCCTGGAGGCCCCCCAGATTGACTTTGATGCCATCATGGATGATGGCAATCACTCGAGTTTGTTCTCGGGTGCTCTGAGCCCCAGCCTCCTCCACAATCTCTCCCAGAACTCCTCCCAACTCACCACCCCCCGAAATTCCCTGAGGCTGCCCTCCATCCCCCCGCAGGCATCAGCAACATGGCTGTCGGGGACATGAGCTCCATGCTCACCAGCCTCGCGGAGAGCAAGTTCCTGAACATGATGACCTAGAGCCCCGAGCACCTGGCGCTGAGTGCACCCAGAGAGGTCATCGCTGCCCAGAGCCTAGGGGTTCCAGCTATTTTGTCTTTTTCCAAAAAAGTGTTAAATACGCATGGGACCACTCTGTTCCGGCTTCCTCATGGCTGACATTTGACTAAAGAGGAATTAGTCTGGCCAAAGGCTTTCCAAGGATATGCAGAAAGAGGGTAGGGAGCATTTGGGTTTGAATCTGAATGCCATACTGGATACTCTGAAAATGTAAGCTTCTTCTGCTACTTGGCAGGAAAAGGAATTCCTGGTCCCACCTGAATTCCTCTATGAAGCCTAACTCTTGAGGTCTCCAACATCCCTTGTCATAGAGGAAAAGTACAGATGATACCTGGATGATTCAGAAGTACATTCCGAGTCCAGGTTTGGTAAAGGGGTTGTTGCCCAATGGCAGTTCAGACGACAGATGTTGTAAGAGAAGGTTTATGGGCATCCTCTCTGGTCTTCGGGATTATCACTCAGAACAATGGAAGAAGTCTCCATAGAACAGGAAAGAATGCAAAACTCATTTACACCATGCTCTCCAGCCTTTGGTGCCTATGGGACCACTCTGTTCCGGCTTCCTCATGGCTGACATTTGACTAAAGAGGAATTACTCTGGCCAAAGGCTTTCCAAGGATATGCAGAAAGAGGGTAGGGAGCATTTGGGTTTGAATCTGAATGCCATACTGGATACTCTGAAAATGTAAGCTTCTTCTGCTACTTGGCAGGAAAAGGAATTCCTGGTCCCACCTGAATTCCTCTATGAAGCCTAACTCTTGAGGTCTCCAACATCCCTTGTCATAGAGGAAAAGTACAGATGATACCTGGATGATTCAGAAGTGCATTCCGAGTCCAGGTTTGGTAGAGCTGGCTCTTCTACCCCATAATGCTGAGTTTGGGACCAGCAGCCCATCCAAGTGTATATGAATGAATAAAGTATTAAGTATCACCAGAAAAAGGAAAGAAAATATGTACTCCTCGTGGCAAGCCCAGAAGCTGCCCTGGCCTTTCCAGACTGTGTTTACAGTGTTTGCATGTAGAATGTAGCCCTTCCTGAAAAGAAGACTTGTTTCTAAATACCTCAGGGCTGCTGGAGCCACTGTGGGTTACGGATCGTCAAAGGTCTTGAGGGGTGACAGTGCACTTGGGGCAGAGCCTCAGGCCGCCCTGGGGATCTCCCAGTAGGAAGACGAAGTCATGTGTATACCCAATCCTGTTTCTCCAATGCAATGGCCACCCATTTACCACGAAAATCTCCACAGCCTGACAGCAGCCCAGGCTCCCCAGCACTCACCAGCAGCCCAGTGTTCTCCACCAAGCCACAGTGAGCAGGCCTGGTGTCCTCTAGATTCCCTTCCTTCTGCCCCCGCAGTCACTGGGCAGAGAATGATGATGTGTGGTGGTATGGGTGGGGGTGGAAGGGGGAGGAGCTGATCCTCAGGTCATTGAATTTTCCTGGTCAGTGTGACCAAGACCCACCTGGCAATGGAATTTGGAACTGGCTTCAGGAGACATCATTCCTGGACACACTGGAGGGTGAATTGGTGCATCTTCCCCACCATACACACACACACACACACACACACACACATTCCCCAAACCTTCTCATGGGGAATGTGCGGCAACCTTGCCAAACTAGCAGCACCATTCAGCGTGTGACTCTGACTGTGACCTTGGCCTCAATGAGGAACTTCTTATGAGAGTTTGAGGACAAGGCCATCATCATCTGGGCCCCTTGCATCCCAGCGTATCAAACTGTCCAGAGACAAGGCCAACTGCAGGCGAAAAGCAGGGAACATTGCTAAGGGTCCGTGGCTCTGCAGTGGTGTTCACTGCCTTCCCATTAGGATTTTCCTTGCTAGTCCTGACCTGTATATATTCTGTACAGAAGACATCCCTGAATATACTGTAGGTGAGTCATCCAGCCAAATTTATATCTCCAAAACATTTTTAGCTTTTTCTACATGCTATGAATTGAGATGACATACTCAACTTGTAAATAAGTCTTTTTGTACATTAAAAAAATTTTTTTCATTTAAAAAAAAAAGAAAATAGTATGCTAAGAGCAAACAAGACACAAAAGACTATGTATTGTATGATATCATTTCTATGACATGTCCAGAAGAGGCCAGTCCATAAACACAGAAAGTATATTAGCCATTGCCAGGGCTAGAGGAAGGAGGGATGGATAGAGAGTAACAGCCAGGGTACATAGTTCATATATATATACATATGTATTATATATAATATATGAATATATATTATTCATTATTATATATTTTATATTTTATGATATATTATAAAATAATAAATTATATGTTAATAAAATATATAATATATTGTATATATTATATAATATATATATTATTGCACTTTAGGTTCTGGAGTACATGTGCAGAACATGCAGGATTGTTGCATAGGTACATACATGGCAATGTGGCTTGCTGCCTCCATCCCCATCACCTATATCTGGCATTACTCCCCATGTTTTCCCTCCCCAACTCCCTACCCCCCACAGTCCCTCCCCTACGCCCCCCAACACACCCCAGTGTGTGATGTTCCCCTCCCTGTATCCATGTGTTCTCATTGTTCAACATCCACCTATGAGTGAGAACACGCAGTGTTTGATTTTCTGTTCTTGTGTCAGTTTGCTGAGAATGATGGTTTCCAAGTTCATCCATGTCCCTACAAAGGACGTATTGTACATAATATATAATTAATTTAACAATGGTGCAAAAGTAATCACATTCTACAAATTATTACAATATGGTCTATTGATGGGAGAGGTGTTTCAAATGAAAAAACTTGGAATTTCTCATAAGGTGGTGACATATATCATAGAAAATCTATGTAAAATATTTTACTAACATATGCAACTATAGATACTTCTGCTTTTCAGATAAATAATATATTTTAAACACTTAATGCAGACAAGTGAAATCACTAAGAAATTACAAGAATTCCCAGAATGCCTAATATAGCTGAAAGGAAATTTTAAAACTTCCCAGAACTGGAAGTACATAAAGGTGATGATCCAGAGAAGTAATCAACCAAAGAGGCCAGTGCTCTACCCAGATGCATCTGATGACGGGAAGGCAGATCCATGTGGGTTGTTCTCTTTTGACAAGGCAAATGGGATAAACAAAGAGAAACGGCCTGCAGGCGTCGGAGTGTGCTGTCTCCCATAGGTGAGCATTAAATTATAAATCATGTTGCACACAAGGAGATGAGCTACCGGGGTGAAGCATCAGAAGAAATTATATGGCACGTCAGTCTCAGATATTGAAGTTCTCTTTAAATGTTTAAGTCAATAGAATAGAAAAACAAGAAACCAAAATAATGCAGAAAGAAAGTATGAGCTTGTCAAGCTATTTTTGAAAAAATGGCAATGGAAAAGTCGAGTATTGAAAATGTTGTAAAACAATTTAACATACAGCATACATATTACATATTAAAATAGACTGAGCAAGAAAGAGAACTAGTAAAATGAAATGCTGGTCACCATTAATGTGATCTTATAATTTATAGAAGGCAAATTAATAGAAAAAATACGTTTATATATGAAGAATAGATTGAGAAGAAATAAAAAGCATTTAATTGTTTTACCAGACCATCTAAATAAGAAGGCAATATTCAAAGAATCAGTAAGTCACAAATTTTAGAAATTGAAAACAAGACATTAATCCTTTAAATGTTTAGGGTGTAATATATGATAAAAAAGGTAAATTAAGAAAACTTAGAAGAAATGATGGTTTTGGTTATCTTGAACACTGCTTAATAAACATGAGAGTGCAGTTATCTTTTTGATATGCTTATTTATTTCCTTTTGATATATACCCAGTAGTGAGATTGCTGGATCATATGATAGTTCTATTTATAATTCCTTGAGAAACCTCCACGCTGTTCTCCTTCTACAAATGGGAAATGATTGTACTAATTTACAATCCCACCAAAAGTGTAATAGGAAAGATGGAATCGAAAACCACACTTCAGTTAGCCTGAGTGTGACTCCCGCGTGGATGGCACGGTCTGCCTCGCGCTCTGTTGAAGGGCTGAACGTGGAGATACGTCATCTGTGAACCATGTGGATGGATAACGGACTACCACCCGAGTCTGGTCTCTTTGCTCTTTGAGGATTGTGCTCATTTTTGGAGACACAGAATTCTTCAGAATTCCCTCTGGAAGGAGGGAGGGAGGGATGAACAGAGTTTATTAAATAAAAAAGAGGAGAACATTCACATAAGCAAAAAAGGAGAAAGATACCATTCAGTGTTACTCATTCTTTCCAGGTTTTTCTCCTGCCTCTCAGGTTACCACTCTTCTCTGTGAGCTTTTAATATTCTGCCCACCCCCTTAATATTAGTGTTCTGGACCAGAACACTTGTCTGGCTGACTTATTTGTGCCTAGTCGATGTCAATCTCTGACATGACTTCAGTTACCGTAGTTATGCTCAAGCCTCCCAACTCTTTTTTAGTTTTGCTTTGCCTGCTAGAACAGCTTCACCAAGGTGTCTCAAAGGTTCCTCAGATTTAATTGTCTAAAACTGAATTCAGGCCTCCCACCTTCCATACCTCCCTTCAAACAAACCCAAAACCTGACATTCCTTCTGGCAGATCCATCCGACTTCTCCTTTCACCTCTCATATTCAGTCAAGTCTTGTTAATTGCACGTTATAAATGTCTCTTACATATGTCTGTCTCTGTTCCCACTGTCATTGTCATGTCTTGCCAGTCTTATCCTTCTGCAGTATATTTTCCCCAGTGTAGCCAAATGATTCCGCCAGAACAGGTTATGTAAATTGTCTAATTTTCACACTGCTTAAACATTTTTACCCTTGATCCAGAGTTAGCCAAACTGTAAGGTTAAGGGCACAGTCTTTCACACAGCCAAGTCTGCCCAAGACTTCCCATGCTTTCGTAAGGAGTTAGGACCAATGACAAAGTTCAAACGAAGAGTCCACACAAGACCATCCTCACTTCTGACACCAGCTGCAAGTTTGGGGGTTTCCAAAAACCATGTTCACATTCAGTAATCCACTAGAAAAGTTCATGGAACTCACTAAAAGCTATTAAACTTAGGGCTATGTTTCATCACAAGAACACACTACTAATTAGAACCAGCCAAAGGAAGAGCCGCCTAGCGTGTAGTCCAGGAGGGTGGCAGATCTAAAGCTTCCACTGTTCTCAGGGACGCATTGCCCTCTCAGCATAAATTTAGGGTTGTATGGCACCACACGCAGAGTACTGCCCACCCATGAAGTTCCCCTAAGCTTTGGTGTGTCTGAAGTTTGTGATTTGTTGTGTTTTTTAAAGAGATGCGTCCCACTATACTGCCTAGGCCAG